CGTTAGTCTACCGACTCTCGCGTAGGTCAACAACACTCTGGAATTCCTTTTCAGCGATGTTGGTGGAAGAGAAGACAGNGACGCTGCTTTCAAACGGCGTCTGGATGAGCACCTGAAGGGGCTATGGAGGAACGAACACTTGTGATCGGACCTTCGACCCAGTGGTGATGGGGCTTACATGAGCACCATGCCCTCTGCCCTCAATTCTGAAGAATGAAGACTGACCGTGGACCGTTCATGGGCCATATCTCCTTACTGTTTTGTCCTACAACTGACTGATTTGTGTTCATACATGCCTGTAACCAAATTGAGTAATCGATCGATCGGTTTATCGATTGACCGACTGTTTGAATGCTGGCTTGACACCAGTCGCATGTAATTCGATCTGGGAGCCAGTGTCAGCCTGCCTGCCTGCCTGCCTTCCTGCACGTTGATCGTTTCTGCTTGTTTCCCGGTTTGTGAACCGGCTACATATTTACTGTACACAATAAACTTACTGCTTAATTTTTTGTTTGCTCATTTATCTACTTAAACTGGGACAAAACACTGACCTTCCCAGATGATCTGCTGAGCGTGTGTGTGTTGCGATCATGTTGTCATTGTGATTGACAATGTGAACCAGTCACTTGCCCACAAGTCAGCTATAGCGGTTGTTTGATTAATCTCGAACTTTGATTTTTGTAGTCCGCTTCGAATGTCTGATTAACCAACTAATGTATTCCTTTCTACTCCCTTCGTTAATGTTTTTCATCCATCTAGTTCACCGACTGCTGACTGATCCATTAAGTAGATTTTCACATTTTTACATCATTTTTCAAAGCCTTTGTATCCAATATTCTGAAAGATTTGTGCTCAGCTGAAACAACAACAACAATCATGGAACATACCGTTGCTCGTGATTCTTATGACATATCCCCTGTTCCTTTTTCTGTTCCTAGTCTAACAGCTGAGGCTAGGGCTACTGTCACAAGTCTTGTAATCGTCAATTAGGGATAGCCAGTTGATGAGGCTAGCGAGGTACCCGCGGTGTGGCGTTCGGATCTACTTGTTATAACGTGTGCTCTGAAGCCTTGTGTTACCGTGCATGCTGCACGTGGTCCTCCGATTTGTGTCCCTTACGACTTATTGCGTTTGATGGCTACGCTGTCAGAATACTCTTGAGCTTTTCTCACTGGGGTTATGCCAATGCTATTTGTATTGTGTCTTCATTGTGTTTGTAATCCAGTTCTGTTCAGCCAAACGTATATTCTCACTTATTCAAATCCCTATTAAGGAACAAGGAGCATTCACAGCATAAACCCATCAGTTTGTCTACTCACTGGTTCGATCCAAAGGAGAAGACTAAGTAGTACTGAAGTGAAGGTACGGTGCGGGTAAAGATTGCATGATAGTGTATCTATCAATCCTAAAAGCGAAAAAGGAACTGGTACCGATTGCCTACCAGTTTCATGCCCATGAAATCGATAAGAATTCACCGGATAACTAAAGAAAACCTTTCAGTCACATTCAAATATTGCTTTATAGTAGAATGAATACCCAACCATGAAAAATGACTAGCTCTTGGGCTTAAGTGAAACGAGATTTTGAGTTTGACCAAAGAAGAACATGTATTAGGAAATCGGAATAGTGAGGCTACATTGCAGACATGGAATTCCATCCCTTTTTACTAATTATCATTATCTCAGTGATATGATTGTCTGAGAGGTGATGAACTGGAAGCAAAGTTTTTCGGCCTATTGATGTTCTTTTCAAGATACTTACAGTGGTATAGCCTTCATGTATGGCCACTTTTGTACTCTTGAACTTAAAGATACATAAAAACCTTAGTTTAGCAATAATCCGGAGATGCAAAAGTTATCAAACATGCTTGCACAACAGCTGAGACTTGATTTGCAATCAGGGGCACCCCCTTGCCGTGTCCCTAGTTCTCGTTTATGAATTATTGAAAGGAGTCAATTCTTAAGAAAGGTTCCGTCCAAATAAGGCAGGTTGTTGCATTTTGGAGAAGCCATGTTTCACTGCCGTCCGGTCCTATGAGCAATGACTTATCTCCTTTCATCCCTTCATAAGACATCAGTGCTCTTCACCTGTTGGAACGAATCGGTTCATCCAGTCCAACCAAATTTAGAGATTATTATTATTCGGTTTCCTGATATCCAACATGACTAGCAGTAAAGTACCGCATGTGCACCTCAAAGTGAGCTATTCTTACCCGATTCAGCCACTCGGCAGACTAGATAATGTCGAAATACTGTGCATGTTACTTGCTATATTTGAGTAGTTAAATAATAAGCGATCAAAGAATGTTCCATCACTCAACCTGATGCACCACTGGCAGCCTCAGACCAGGAGCAAGCAGCTGCCAAACACATCCAAAACTTTGGAGTGATTTGCTACTCGTTAAACGTGTACGAAGCATAACCTTCGGAAGTTGTAATCATTGCACCGCATCGCTCAACTTCCTTGTTTCTTGTTAGGCGGCTTCAATCAACTGCGGCACTTACTGAGTACTTATGGTACATTTGTTGTCCACCAAACGAACGGAAGTAAAATGTTATTTTCAATTAATTCAGATCTTTTAAATCATTCTGCACGGGAAAAAAACGCCGACTGGACCAACAAGAATAAGTGAACTGTATCAATTAGTTCAAAGTCCAACTGCTCCACTGCTGAGTTGCGAGCCATATTAAATACCCACACAATCCAAACCCAAAGTGATTAAAGCATGAGGAAGGAGAAAAATTAATCTCTGTCTCAGTACTACGTACTACTTTTGAAAGAAATCTGTTCGTTGGAACCCTTCAGGATTGCACACACAAGAAGGTGCAGTTTGTTTTGAGAAATATCGATTGTTGCAGTCCATTCGAAATACAGCAAGTAGAGATAAGTTTGTAAGTAAGTTATTGTGCAAACAGAAAACATCAATGGATGTCGAGTGCTCGGAACTCGGCGGACCACGGCTGACATAACTGTTCCAAACATTTTTGGGTATCATATGGCTAATCATAAATTGTAATAAAAGACCAATTTTTTTATTTGGGGTCTCGTGTGGATGTGCTTAACTTTGGTAAGTGCTTTATTTACTTAAGTGGTACATTTCGGGTTCGTGCACCTCAAAACATACCTTAACTGGAATTGAAAACATGTTTTACCTCACTTGCCATCAACGAAACTGTTTACCAAGAGTAGTATCAATTAAAACTATCTGGTAACTTGATTATCTTATTCCGCTTTGGAATACAGCGCGAGGGATCTCTATTCACGCGTACACACATACATACTTACATTGAGACACACATTGAGATAAAGGAGTGAGAGTGTTATAATAATTCTTTCTCCCCTGGTTTCATAGTTCATTAATTTTCTTGGCACTATCATAAATTTCGAAAACAATTGTTTGTGCGATCATCTGATATTTTGATGTAACTGTAAACATAAGTTACAAAATTAAGACAAATCATGCCAGTAGTTCAAACAACCCAAAGCGTCCGATCCTGTGGTATGCCGGAAATTTCTAACCAGATACAGCCAAATACATTCTTCGAACAAATTCCAAAGCTACATATACAGATCACCGATAATTTTAATGGAAACAACCCCCAGGAATAATCAAGGGAAAAAATGCAGCTCAGTTTATCCCCTATTGGAAATCTCGTTTTACGTCATCCTAGCTGAATATAATATGGAATGAACACGAGGAACCCATGGGAGATATAAATACTGCATCGCAAATTTTGTTACGGTGACTAGCTATCCGTGAAAACGATCGAAGGGACGGTGGGAAAGGGGCTATTCAAAATAAATTCGTTCAGCGTTTATTTAACGGGGTCAGTATTTGCCGTGCGTATTTTCATACAATTTATGGGAGCTGACAGAAAACTGAATTAACGACAAAATTAGACATCTTGAATCAAACCTCTTTCACATCTAACTAGTGGGTCAGATGAATGAGGTGAAGAATAAATAGCCTAATCATTTCACAAACCCGATCGTTCAGAAATCCGATTCGCAGCACAATTCCCTGATTACCATCGGGATCACCGACAGTCGTCCCGTCAGCCATATGTACATCACCGGTCGAATCCCCCAGTAGGAGAACACAGGGTCGTTCCAAAGAGGTCTTTCCATCTCCACTACCCAGAGTGACGATACTGGCAGCGGTTTTATTGAAGGTATGGATAACTGGCTCTTCGAATGCGGTGAGTACACCCTGAGGAGAAGTTGTGGATTTATCCACCGAGTAGATAATGACAGAAATAATGAAATTAGAAGTGAGAAGATGGAAAAACCAAATCTAACCGGATAATGCAAATCAAATACCTAACATGATAGAGGAAAACAAGATACTTTAATAGCTGATCGGAAATGCAAAATACCTATGAGAAGAATGATATTTCGCTTGCACAGTGGTCAAAAGTACTGAGTTGAGAACGCAGGAACACCTGCGGTTTTCCTGGCTTTGTTTGGTAGGCCGATCAAGAACAGCTGTACCCATACTGATGAATGGTTTCTCAGCTGTACGGGGAAGTTTCTTGCAGTGCAATTATTTACACCTCAACATACTGAACAGCATCACGAAGTCAATGCATTTTACAGAAAACGATAGCAAATTGAAAGCCAAAAATAGATAACACTGGGAATTCTATTCCCCAAGTCTAATTGTCCATCTTTCTAGTTCATTTTTCGAACATGGATATTGCCGAATTTCATTCGATCATATTTTTCTTACTTGACAGCTGAAGTGAAGCAGATTCGGGTTTTGAGCAACAACATTGCAGGCATTATTCGATAAAACAATTTGAAACGGAGATGAAAACGAAGTGTACCCTTTAATAAGCACACCATCAGGTCTAAAAAGCGACGCAGTGAGAATAAATCATGGACTTTAAAATAGCATGGCATGTAATGGTGGCTCTTGTTCTGACGAAATCTGCTTGTACACTAGTACCATTCTATTTAACAAACTAGTACAAATTACTGCAGGCATTTGGACAAAGAAATACCGGATTTGGTTTGTGACAGACCAACTGGTTACGTTATCGGTTCAAAGTTACATGTTTTGGGCCGCGAGGTTGTGAGAGTTTCCTGGGACCAAGTTACAAAATTTTTATGAACAGTTATCAAAAGCAATTGATTCAAGGCTAATCACATCCTAATTTTTAGGAAAGGACATGATTGGCACAGTGCAGTTTTGTTCATCCACAGTTTCATATCTTTCAGACTGCGACACGGAAATATTTAACTTTGAATACCCTCTTATGTATCTTTTTAACGAGTAGCACCATAAATCCCTTTTCTACAAAATAAAAGACAGTTCCGATTAACAAGTTCGCATCAGTAATGCAACTGAGTAACTTTCACATCAACACGAACGCATTTTATTTGAATTATTCAACTGTGTACGTGTATGTTTTTAATCACATGTGTTAGTATGATTGCCATCATGAGAACATAAATGACGGCCGTGTTACGCCATACATTTCCAGCGCCATATCGGTTTTATGCATTATTTGCGTATTCAGTAATCAATAATTCCATAAACCTATTTGCCAACACATGCATAAACATTGCGAAATCAGTCGTTTTTCTACTAATAAAAGTACTTGGAATCATAAATTGGCGTACAGACACATCTACCAATCAGAATTCGAAACATGACTGTACTCGGTTATCAACGTTTTTCATTGCAATAAACCCAACAATTGCTTAACCAGTTGTTCCTATTGAGTTGTCCCAAAAACCAAACAGTGAAGGTGATTACTTGAGGAGCCTTTACGCAAAAATGCTATGCCTACCAATTGCACTGCATCCATTCTTAATTAATACAGGACAAGATTTGCATTGCCCAATGGTACACTGTCATTTGGTACTGGCTAGAATAGCCTATTGCGACAAGTCCAACGGCTCGAATACCTAAAGTGCGATCCATACGGTATCAAATTAAATTACTGAATGAATCTATTTCCATTTTGTGGCTCAATATCTTGAGTTATGCATTTTTTCCTACCATCAAGCTAATGTTGAATGCTCGAGACAATGAAATCACAAATTTCGAGCACATGTGACTACCTATACGATCGAATAGCCCACAATGTCTGGACATGTCAAACTCCTAAATATCTGGTTTGTGCAGAACAGCGGGTTTGAACAATGAAACGGGAAGCAAGAACAAGATTATTCATCACTTACATCCTCATCGAAGCGCATCAAGTTTGATATAACCCGCACATTATCCGTGTACATGGTGAATCTCTGTAGCAATAGCCGTATTACATCACCCAATCCAGCGGAGAATATCAACAGAGGAATTTTGTTCTCATGTAACAGGTCCGCGAAGTCTTTCACACCATCTCTGGAAAAAATAAAACAAATGAAATGGAAAATGAAAAACGGTCTGATCAGCTCCCCGGTAGCCGAGTGGATAGCATGCCTGCGCGTTCTATGTATGAGGTCCCGGATTCGACATCCGAATGGGACAAAGGATTCGCACTGCTGACGAGGCCCAACCAGGTCGAAACAGCTATCCAGGGCTTCCTAGCTTACCAGTTCACGCTTCCTTTGAAATCTAATGAAACGCATTCAATCCCACTTCTCGAATGTTTTCTTCGGCTCTGCGTAAAGTTACACCATGACAACAGAGCCGGAAGTTACAATTGTTTGACACCATTTACTGTGTATCGGGTTATTGGGACGGTTTGCTTTCCTCCACAAGGATCTTGTGCGCTAGCCGAACTGGAAGACTCTAAATAACTTTCCGGAAGTTACACATCGTATCTTCCGGTTAAATGTACACCTCAACCACACTGAACTACAAAAGTTCCCATGAGAAAATCCGTAAATACAGGGATTAAAATAATAAACTAATAAACTTTCAACTGTTGTGTTTGATCAGAATTAAACCATTTATTCACGGCTTCCCGCTTTGTCATATAATTCCACCATGTTTTACGTTTTTCTTTGTTTTTACTATGAATTCCAGGAGCACTGTGCTAAAGTTGCACTCCTCACTGGTACCTTTTCGCCATACTCATTCCTTCTACTTCATTGCCACTTACTGAGCCTAACGTACCTCCTTCATTCTTGCATTTGAAGTTTCTCACCTCAACGGGTTCTCATACTGGCCCCCTTTTCCGCATTTGATGGTTGTCTCAAAAGGAGAATGTGCTGAGAACCCACCAAAAGGCACTCGACCCGACGTAGATGTTCTTTCTTCCAGGCGTTTTTCGAGGGGGAGGACAGTACTCTTGTTCGCAGGATGTGATCGTTTTTCGAGGGTACATCATAACTGGAGATGGTAACACTGAATATGATGCAATTGGCATCATCACACTGGAACATTGCGTGATGAAAATTTGTGGATCAAGCATTAAAAATCTATTCTCTTGGCTAGTAGATCAATTGCCAAACGTCTATTACTACTCCAGTTCAATAAGGAAATGATTGTTTTCGCAACTCCGCAGTCAGGCATCCACAGTTGCATGCCGGCGTCATGAAAACACCAAGTAGCGCAGTCGTGGCTCACCTCGCACAAACAGGGCATCAGGTCGAGTACGCCACCTTCAAAGTTATTTATCTAGTGCCACCTGTGACACCAAAGTTCCTGCAACAACGCTAGTTAGCAATGGAGGACGCAGTTAGACAGATATCACCGTGTTCTCAGAAAAACTGATCAAAACACTCGAATTTCCTTGGTCCCAAGTTGACCTAGATAATAAATCAGACTACGACTCGATGATGACGTCAAAAGCCAAATGTCAACAGAACACTGGAGAGATAACCTCCGACCCCCCTCCCGTTCCTCCTCCTAACTTGCACATGACAACCTCTCATTTTCATTACTTGATGAATGACTTTGAGCAACTGGATTTCAACTAATTCACTAACCGATATTCCAACGTAATCTTTATACAAACAAACATCTAACTGTAAATGCCTCAGGATGAATTTAAGAAAACAAATATGTTGACATTGATTGACTATCTTAATTACACAACGGGGATTTTCCATTTTTGTACCACACATGGAAAAATCACACCTATTCGCCTGTTTCGAGTGGCCGCAACCTGGTATCCATCCGACTGATTTGAGCCCTGATAATGGGAGTGATCATTCGCGGGGGATATTCTAGTCCCTTGGGACTAAGTTCATATTCGGAGTTCCACCGATACGTTTCATTCCCCTAGGTACTGGATTGTGTAATGCTGGTTGTTTGAAAAAACTTAAACTTATATTCATCGCAAGCACTGCATACATTGAAGGAATATACCATATTATCCTAAATTCTTATTGAAAAACGGCTTTAGTTTGTAGTTCAAAAGAGGAAGGCACATCTCACCAGCATAAAGAGTTATTGAGAATATTACGGCCTAATTTCAGTAGATGGTGTAAATATGAGAAATTCTTGAGTAAGAAGTGGAAACAACCGCAAAACACATCAAGTAACTCTCATCTAATCATTGGAAAAAACTGAGTTTCAACCGGTGTGGGGGGGGGAGGGCATGGAACTGCTTGAAAATGATACAACCGTCAGCTGATGTTTCTTGGGAAATTATACGAACTTACCTCAACACCAGGCTGCATTCACGAACAGTTTTGGTCAGGGCTGACCGGTGGAGGTGACACTGAACCATGATTTTCTGAGTCAGGGAACACCAAGTTAACATGTGCGGGATCTTCTCCTCGACTGGCATAAAGGGATCGAATTCAATTGCGCAATACTTCTTCCTCAGCTCCCGAAGCTACATCATTTACAAAAGAACTATGCTCGTGAGTGTGACGAAAGCGGCACAACCAAAAATCGGTGAGTTATACTGCGTGGACAACTGATTACGGTGCAATCAGGGAAGTCGCATTACGCAACCATCGCAAAAACCACAACCACTATAACCGTCAATAGGAATAGCAGTAGCAACATCAGAAACTGGATTCTTGCGACAAAACAAGGTTACCGGCTTTCACAAGAACTGCTGAGGCAAAGTTTCATAAACAGACGAACGAGGTTTGCAATTTAGTCATCGTTTGAATTTTATCCTGGACATCCCAACCAGTTCATCCCATTTGTTCCGTTTGACCCCTATTTGTCTTCTAACAATATGACACTAGTTAAGAAAACAGGGTTTTGTATGCCGTGACAATCAAGTGATAAATGTCACTAGCACATTGGGGTTGTGTTCGAATCCCACCACTCTATCCCCTGCCCCAAACCCCTTAGTTTTATATTTAATAGTACTACTATGGCAGAAAACCGTTGGTCGGTAAAAAAGTGACCATAAATGACTATGAATATTGATATAACATGTAACCAAAATCTCTTTATACACCTACAACTTCTTTGCGACAGGATGAAATAGTTCAAGGCTCAGAGTAGTACATTTGGGATAATTCATTCGATTGTCCACAGGCATCAGGCCTTGTTGATGGTCTTGGGTGTGGGTTTCACTCTTTGGGAGACCGTTATGTCCCTACTAGTTGAATGTGTTTATAAACCATGAAAACCCACACCCAAGACAATCGACAGGGCCTGGTGCCTGTGAGCAATCAAATGAACTATTGCAAATTTGATTCTATTATTAACTTAAATCATTCGCACAAAGTGATGACCGCCCATGAATTAGCTCAGCGGTTAGGGTGTCCAAGTCCCGATCCGAATGTTCTCGACTCGAGTCCCGACAGGGACACATAAAGTACGCACTGCTGACGAAACGGCAACCCAGTGATCAATATGAGTCATCTGGAATCTTTCTATCGTTTATAATCCCATACTTACACTTTTTTTTAGCTGAATTGTAATCAATAAGTCGGAAATTTTGTGCCGGCGGAAAGACCATTTCTGCCAGATATTGGTAAAATAAACATACAGGAGATGCTTTGTTCAGTAGACAGGAGGTTGAATGCAATCAATCCATCGCACAGAGAGCAATAGAATAGCAGATCAGTGTCTGGTAACGAACCGAGTGGCAGAGTGATTGGAATTCTCTGGCCGTCACGAAAATAAAGATAAGCCACGGAACGTGCTCAAAACATGGGTTTTCTGGCAATGTGTAAGGCACCAAATGTTGTCGGTGGATCGGCGATGATCGCCAAAAGTCGGAATAAACAGTGCCTGTGCGTAATAGAATCTGTTCTAACACACTGTCTACTGGAATGGAGTCGTGAGCAGGAGTGTGTANATTGCAGGGGGCAAGGATATATACATACTGGATAAGCGCATTCAGCGTTTTGAGATGCATTTCCAGTCCGTAAAAATATCTATCAAGAGATGACAGACGGACGGTATCTGTTGTGCAGTGAAGAAAGAATTAATTCGCATGATAAGGGTGATGGAGGTTGAACCATTAAGCTATTGGAGCTCACATACAACAATTAAGAGGATTCTGGCACGGAGAAATGGTTGAGGTACGCAAAACCTATACGCGTTTTAAGAAAAGTGGGTTGAGTAGAAATCTAGTTACCAATATTAAAATATTATATTGTTTGATAAACTGATTTGTTTTGTGCAGGCATTGTGTACTTCAGGACTGTTTCCACTCAAGAAATTAAGGTTGGCGATTCTTGTCTGGACGGGGCACAAAATTTCGTACTATTACCAATTCCCAGGAAGGATGGAGCAGCTATTTCGTGTTCTTTGTCTGTCATTGCAGAGAATCCTATCCATGGTTGGCGGCCCCTCTCATCTTTTAGTTGATGTACAAAAATGTATCAAATTTGCAAGTGTATATTTCTTCCCAGCATGTCACTTGATACTTCATCCGCTTACCATGCATTCACATTTGTCTTCAATCTTCGTCCCCCCCCCCTGAGGGATAACACGATGACGTGGAACAGAGAACAGGTTATCCATTGTTTATATTGTTAGCGATGGTCAGTGTCGAGGACTTGATTTGCAGGCCCAAGTGACGATAACCCGTTGCAATTGGCAGTTATCTATTTACTCTAATGATCAAAACGCGAAGGGATCCACTCAGCGTGCTTCTTTTTGCTTTACACAAATTGACTTCATACAAAAATAACACGGATATCTAGATGTATTCATGAGTAATCCAGGAAAAGTGTAACAGTTTTGGAACCCCGAGTTTTTTTCAGGATGTCTTTCATCGTTGCAAAGTCAAGTGCTAGTTGCAGGGAACCAGGTGGTGTAGGATGACCCCACTCCACAACAAGTCATATTCGTGCAAGTCGCTATGCTTTCCATGGACATTTTAGTTTTATGTTACATACGACGTGCTTGCTTGGCAAAACTCTATCACCTGTTGGGTGGACTATGGCGACTGCCTCATCCCCGTTGGGCTAAATAGTGAAACAACGCACACCCATTTACGAATAACCACCAGATAGACCGTAGGTTTTGAGTTGCCTATCGCCCGTACTCCATGTGTGACTTTTCAATACACTTTTCAATGTAAATATCAACCGCAGGAAGCAAACGTATTTTGATTTACTCCTTTGCTTGGATACACACAGCATCGAATCACTAGTTCTAATCTGGGGATAAATTTATGATTGAAACAACAAATCCATCGACATGGTATATGTTCTTAGTGAATTCAAGCAATTTTCGTACAATTTAATTACTTTCATCATCTAGTTGAACATAGTGGAAACAAAGTTGCGCCATAAATATAAATCAGCTAGAAGTGATTGACAATAAAGGGGTATGGCATCCACTTATATTTCTCAGCATCCTGGGCGCTGCATCTTACTATATTCGACACACTGACACTGACACCCCGCTTAGAGCGACAAAAAACTTGATGCCACTTGCAGACTATCTCTATGCCCACCACTTGAAACTAATCATGCTGATGAATGGTTTCGGTTACTGAAAACTGCTGTACATGCTGCTGCCGGATCATCCAGTAAGGCATCCCCTGTACCACTGATTAGGAACTACTGAGAGCTATTCAATCCGAATCAGTTGTATGGTCCCCCTATTGAGGTGCTGTTTTATAGTGTCGCGTCTGAACTGACATTTGACTTGATTAGCAAACCAGTGTGATAAGTGGAGAATTAGTGAAACCAATGTGGAGCAGATTAGCCTGGATTTCATTCACTAACTGCTAATTACGTCTTGTTCGTGAACATTCCATACGACTGATCATGGAAGAGTAAGTAGAATTCCTTATTCTTTTCCCGTTTCTTAATAGTGAATGCATGACTGACTTTAACCTTCTCTGTGACTAGTCACTGTTCTAGGAGCTGATATTCCAGAATCAGTAGACATTGTCCTTACGATTAGGGTGGTCGTATCATTTCATGTGGAGACGTAATCTTTATACTCGCACCGCGTGCCCGTGGCAGACTAATTATAACACGCAATGAATACAGCCTTTTGGAACATGAAAACACCGAAATGTGCCATACAACTGTGTAATTATACACGTACTCAATGTAAACAATTCTACTGTTGTTAGTTTAAGCGATGGTGACCGGAAAACCGGGTCGCACGGCAATCAAAGCCAGTTTGCACCAAATTAGAACTAAAAGCCTTCCTACAGATGAACTTTGGATCTCCAAGTTGCTACCTGAACAGGATAACCGTTTTTTCAATTACGCCAAACTGTATGTTCTAGGAAAGTTTGGTTGACTGGACCAGCATTCTATTGATCGACTGACTAGAAGAACTGTGTGCTTGAATCCGGGTTCCGGGACCGCAGAGATCACTTTGGTTCCTTATGGTCAATGGTTAAGTTCGAGCCACGCCGAAGCCAACAGTTCAGTGAAAATTAAAAACCGATTCGTTTTCATTGTGCAGGATGGTGGTGTCCAGTAAAGTAACCATAGTTTATAGTAGGTTATTGATTCANNNNCGCACCCAGTCGACCGGTTACGTGTAAAGCCCCATATTGAAATTTCGTTATGGTCTAACAAGCTGATCGGCTGTATGTATACTCATCGGATCAATCAGTACAGGAAAGGTAGAGCCTTTGCAATCAAGACTCTTGTGTTCCCATGGCAAAAACCACTTCACACCATGGCTGATCAGAATTAATAATTCAAATGTGTTCAGTTGTCGTCTTCATTAATAACCGATCCGTTCAAATTACCGGACTTGATTTGACAGAATTTGACTGGGTGTACTCCTATGGTGTTGTTGGAATTATGCAGGCTAGTGAATTCCGAATAACAGTCAGTTACACTTCAAAATGTAAAGGTAATGGCTGGGATCCATGGGCCTCACATTTCCCTGAAGGGCTAACTAGTTACATAAAAGTTAGATGGCTGAACTCTGCGTCCTACGAACCGATTTAAAAATATTTTACTATGAAAGTTATGGAGCGAAGAAATTCACAGGCAGGTAACTTGATCAGGAAAGGTAGATAGATTACAGTAACTATGCTGAATTAATATGGACAAATGAAAAATGTGGCAACTCACAAAATCTTTGTCTTGTGAACAATGAAGTTACACTGCTCTAAATTAATCTACTCCAAATTGTTGACTAATGTAGCGATTACAATTGTAGATTAGATACATTCCCACCGGCCAGGACTCCTTCGAGTTTATCTACACGGAACAATGATAAACGCCAGGCTTTGTATCACACTGTTTCACCAATGGAAACAACCGGCTACCTCGATAAATTAATCTTTCAACACAGATCCTATTTTTCGAGTTGGTAAAGATAACAATGCACCTTTGGTAATTTATGCCTAGAGGGAGAACCGCTTTGCAATACTTGTCGACAGTGAGT